TCACTGTTGTGGCCTCTCCCGTTGCGGAGCACAGGCTCCGGACGTGCAGGCTCAGCAGCCATGGCTCATGGGCCCAGCTGCTCCGCGGTATGTGGGATCTTCCCGGACCAGGGCACGAACCTGCGTCCCCTGCATCGGCAGGCGGACTCTCAACCACTGCGCCACCAGGGAAGCCCCTTAGCAGTTTTAAAGCTCTTGTTACATTTCCACCAAAATAAAGCCACTGTCTGACTTTGAGGAATGTATTGCTGTTTTGAACTTTTGCCTTGTTTTTCTGTCTACGGTGTCTGCCCAGCATGGAATAGAGCATCAGCCCTCAGCTAAGGTTTCTCTCCAGTCATGCTGTGTAAACTGTAACAGCACTTTCTTCCAGTCACACACGCTAGCTCCTGTTTAAGACTCATTCTTCCCCACGTTTCCTCGTGGTGTTATAACATGAACCCTTTAAGCCTTCTGTAGTTACATCCGGAGTTTTTAGTTTCTATGTTTAAGTCTAAATGTCTTCATTTCTGTAGTCAGGTGTGCAATTAGGCAAAATTCTCTAATTTTTATTCTGAGAATCATAAAGTTTCGGCTTGAAAGGCCTGCAAAAAATCATATAGTTCTAACCCAGCCTCCTCGCCCCCAAGTGTAAGAACCTGCGCTCGGGCATCTTGGCTGGTGTCCCTTCCCAGGGTCTCCGGGGAGGGGCGTCCTCCACACTGGTGGCAGCTGGGTCCTGTGAGACCGCTCGTGAAATTGCATCTCCTTTGGTTTTTTCACTCGGGTCCTGGGTCTTTGCTTCGCAGTCACACACTCCATGTTACGGCTTGTCTCTGAGAGCCCTTCAGACGTGCAGTGGCAGTTCAGCCCTGACCCTTTTCAGGCTTTCTCCTCAGGGGCCGGTTCCTCTCGCTGCCTCTTGTGTAACTTCCTGCGGCAGCTCTCCCTCCCGGCTCACCTGCACTTGCTCTTCTGTTTGGGGAGAATGAGGGTCGCAGCTGCGGCCACATGGCCCCCAAAATGCCCCTGAGGCACAGCCCTCGCCTCCCTCGGAGCGGCTGGCAGGTGGCAGTATCCGATGCCCGCCCGCCCGCTGTGGCTGCTGCGTCCTCCTCACACAGACAGGCAGCTCTGTTAGAAGCGCTGTGACACAAGCAGAGCTTTCTAGTTGTTTTCTCCTTGGTCTGGGCACCAGAAGCGATCTTTGAAAGCTGGCGGTTGTGTAAGAAAGTCTCTCTCTGGGGAGGTACGTGTCGGTCTTTGTGAGTGTGTGACGTTACAGGAGGGGTTGATGGAGCCGGTGGGGCGAAACGTTAGGGATTGTTGACTCAGGGCGTGGATCCCTGGAGGATGTGCTCCTCTTCTGTGTGCGGATGTGCTTGAGGACTTGAGGAATAGACGGTAGACACCTGTGAGTGAGACGGGCCCCTGGATCAAAGAGGGAGGACCTTGGAGGAGGGCTGCTGGTCCCCCTTAGTGATCTGTGCTCAGGGGTGGATGTGCTAGGTGTCACACGTGCCTAGGTGTGGGGCTCCTGCGGAAGCGTCCACATAGGGTGCTGGGAGCAGCGTCCTAGTACCGGTCCTGCCCCGGGCGTGGCAGGGGGCGTTCAGCAGAGCTGCCGTTGATGCTCACACAGGTTAGAACTCCTGACTTCTCACCGTCCGGCGTTCCCTTGTCTTGCAGTACGACCCCCAGTTCGGTGATGCTTTCTGGAACAGCAGCAAGTACGGGATGGTGACGTACCTGCTGAGGATGATGACCAGCTGGGCCATCGTCTGCAGCGTGTGGTACCTGCCTCCCATGACGAGAGAGGCCGAGGAAGATGCCGTCCAGTTCGCAAACAGGGTGAAGTCCGCCATTGCCAGGCAGGGAGGCCTTGTGGACCTGCTGTGGTGAGTCAGAGCTGGATCTTACCAGCCAAGTCCAGGAGGACGGGAATTTCTGAAGCAGGTGCTGGGTGGTTGACTCCATTTACGAAGGATCCTCCTCTCCCTGGTGTGGAGAACGAGCCCACCAGTCCTGGAGAGTCAGCAGTTTGACTCACTCTCAGAAGCCCGGGATGTTTGGACGAAGCAGTGCGTTTGGCGCCCCTCCCTGGGGACACGGTCCACCCGAGCACCAGGACAGCCCTGTCTCTGCGGGCAGGGGCTCCGTGCCAACCCAGAAGCCTCAGAGGAGCATTGGGCTCTCTCATCTCGTGTATTTGGCAAATTGGACCATCCTTAGAAAGGCCAGTTTTGTTTTTTTGTAGCTCGTTACCTACCAGAGCCGGAGTTGGCAAACTTTTTCTGAAAAGAGTCAGTACGTATTTCAGACTCTGGGCCATGTGGTCTCTGGTGCAACTGCTTGACTCTGCCATTGTAGCGGGAAAGCAGCCAGAGACAGTCCAGGAGCAGGTCCATGTGCCAGTGAAACTCCACTTACAGACGTAGGCGTCGGGTGGATTCAGCCCGCGGGCCATAGTTTGCAGACCCTTACTCTAGGGTGTGAGGTAGTTATGCTCCAGCTCACAGGAGGTTGATGCGGTTAAACACTGGGTCAGGAGGACTGATCCCCCTCCTGGGACCCTTAGGTTTAAGCGCAGGGGTCAGCTCTGGAGCGCATTTGACTGAGTGGGCGTTTAAACTGACCTGTAACCTTATTTTTTTAAATTTTTTTATTGGAGTATAGTAGATTTACACTTGTGTTAGTATCTGCTGTACAGCGAAGTGAATCAGCCATACATATGCGTATAGCCACCCTCTTCCAGACGCCACTCTCACATAGGTCACCACAGAGCACAGAATAGAGTTCCCTGTGCTATACGGTGGGTTCTTCATAGTAGTTATCTTTTATATATCATACTGTTTATGTGTTAATCCCGATCTCCCAGTTTATTCCTCCCCTCCCCTTTCCCCCTTGGTAACTGTTAAGTTTTCTACATCCGTGACTCAATTTCTGTGTAAATACGTTCATTTGTATCATTTTTTTTTAGATTTCATATATAAGCGATACCACGATATTTGTCTTTCTCTGTCTGACTAATTTCACTCAGTATGGCAGTCTCTAGGTCTGCTTGGCCCTTTTTAAAAATGCTGACATTTATTGGGCACCTGCTGTGCACCAGACACAGTGCTGCTGCCGCTGGTCTGATCATCTCACCTCACCCTCAGTAACTCAATGAGTAGGAAAATTGTCACTGCCATTTTTCAGATGAGAAACTGAAACTCGGAGGGGTTGAGTAACTGTCTTTCAAAGCCACAGAATAAGCCCTGGAGTCGCATGTTGAGCTCAGGTCTGACCGGCTTGAATGTTTAGCCACTGCCCCACGTTCCCTGTCGCTGAAGCCCAACGAAGACAAGGGTGGCCGCTTTCTAAAGGAGACCTTTGCTGGGGATTTTAAAGGACGTGGCAGGTGTCAGGGCTCCCAGGGTAAGGCGGGTCCAGTGGTGAGGGCTTCAGCAGAGACTTTTCCTACCAGCCCGCCTCCACACTCAAAGTGTGAGAGAAAGACTGTGGTGGGCTTGGGTTTGCATCAGTCACTGAAGATGATGATGATTCTAGGGTGCAGGCAAGGCGTTGGGGTGTCTGTCAGGTGGGGGGAGACTTTGAAGAAGCGAATCCATGTTTAGAGGATTTCTTTGGGGCTATTGGAGGAGATGGGTGTTTAGCCCCAGACTCTGCGTTACTTCCAGTCCCTTACGGGACCATCCCTTGAGCGCAAAGAAGTTAAGAACTTGTATTTTCCGTTGTGTTCATTTGTGTGAATTTGGAGAATCCCGGGCTCTGAATTGTACAGATTTTATTTTACAGATGAGTTTTACAGATTCATTATAAGTCCTAGTATTCCGTAAAGCTTGGCTCACCTTCCATAAAGCCAGGGCCTCCTTTGCTTTCTATAAGGTGAGGATGAATGTTTGAGCAGAAAGAACTTTTAACTCCTTGGCAGGTGTGAGCAATTAGAAAGTACCCTGGATAAGGGGAGTGAGCTCTGACCCCAGGGCAGGGGTGAGAGTTTAAGGCGGAGAGGGTGGGTCCCGCAGGCCCAGGGCCAGTTTCCGAGGCCACCATGACGAGGGAGCTGCTGCGACTCTGGTGGGCTTCTCCAGGCGGGAGCGGCACAGGTGGCCGGTGGGGTCACACCTGGCCAGGGCACAGGGCGGCCACGGGGCGTCTCTGCTCTTGCATCCAGCCCTTCTTTCTCTGGTCAGGGACGGTGGTCTGAAGCGGGAGAAGGTGAAGGACACGTTCAAGGAGGAGCAGCAGAAGCTGTACAGCAAGATGATCGTTGGCAACCACGAGGACCGGAGCCGGTCCTGAGCCCGCGCTGCCGCCCGGCCACCTCCGCCCGGGACGCAGGCGCTACGGGCCGCCGCGCGCACAGGACTCCTTGGGCTTATTTGAGCCGCCCAGGCCGCTCCCAGGATGAGCTGCCTTCTTGTTCCTTCTCCGCCGAGTTGGCGGGAGGAGTGCCATTAAAGTCCCCTCCCCACCGTGCCCGTGCGGCCTGAGTGCTGGGTGAGAGCCTGCCATCCCCACTTGGGACCCAGGGTGCGGTCTGTCCTCGAGACCCGAGACCCGCCTGCGGGCAGGGACCTCACCGGGCCAGGCCCGCCCTGAGGAAGGCGCAGCCTTGGGGCCCTGCAGACTCGAGAAGAGAACGTGTGGTCTGCAGGGGCCCTCGACAGACTGACGGTCCCCGGCCTGGGCCGCTGGCCACGGGGCCAGGCGGGTACGGGGACCGGTCCTCCCGCTCCAGCCGCACTCCGCCAGCTCGGCCTCGGCTGCCCCGCTG